ATCCTGACCATCTGCCTCGTGACTACAAGACTAACATCTTTCTGCGAATATATCTTGGAGTGAGCCACAAGCCAGCAAAACGGACGAGCGGGGAATCAAGTCGTGGTGCCGAGCTGCATATTGGTTAAAGGAGCGAAGGATGAAACTGCAGGGACTGCAGAGCTTAGCTGCCGGCGAGTACAGTGCGTATGCCACCAAGGAGTGAAGTGAAGTCAGCCATAGCGGTGGCAAGTCTACGCATTAGTTGGAACGTTGCTTGGCCTGTGGGTTGAGGCAACAACTAACCTGTTGAGAGAGACAGACTTGGCTGTTTTCTGGTGCGCCTTTTTTTCCCGCCATGCGAAGTAGCAGGGGGATAACTGCACAATTGAAGACTTAGCTAATGGACGGTCCGCTGTTCACCCTGCTGGCTGATGCTGTGTCGGCCCAACCACGGGTCAGATACCGGTCGGGGCCGAGTGAGGACTACACAACCGGATGTGCGTACTCTCCCTGTTGCATGGCTAGCTGAACTGCACTGTTATTTCAACGAGGGATGATAGGGGACTATGCTCTAACTTACGATCTGTTTTCTCGAGCCATGGCCACTGGATTTCGGCCCACGAGCGTAGCAGGATAGCTAAGTCTGTAAAAAGGGACCTTGCTGCGATTTGGGGAGTCGCCAGGGAGTCAATGGTTAGCAAATTTGACTTTTGATTGATCAAGTTGCTGCACGACCTGGCCACCATTGCGGGGCCCTCAGGCGCATCAAGAATTCAAGGCCCTCTCACGCGAGTCTGAGAGCACCTTTCTTGTATCTGAGAGACTCAAACCTATCTCCTCCTGCCTTTCTTACTCTAAATCTAGTCTTGTTCTGAGAGGAAGGCGGCAGGCGGGATTGCAACCTGTAGGACCACAACAAGACTCTGTGGGGAGTCATCCCACCAATTGCGGGAGCTCTGCCGCAACTCAGGAGGACTTCTGGAGGCAGGGAATTGAAAGGTAACCATTGCTTCCCCTCTATAAACCCAGTAGAGCCGTATGATAGGTGACTATCTCGGACGGTTCGGAGAGGGCTCGAGTAATCACCAAGGGTGTGAAAGTTTCACTCTATTCTTTATTGTGGTTTATCTTTATATTTTTCGTGGCCTTTATTATGGGAGTTATGCCAGTCCACGAGAATTAATGTGGTGTCTTGGAGTGGTCATTTTATATAACCCTTATTTGTATTCCTTGTTACATTTTCACTGAATATACTGCATCCCCCTTTACTTTGACCTTACGTTTGGCTTTCAGGACAAAACCAGACTAAGTAAAGGAATGTATGCGCAATGTCAGTTTCAGTTTTCATTATTTGACTGAAAGCAGATTGTGGGGTTGCATCTAGGGGAAGGGTGGGAGGAAGGCAGTATTGCTTGAAGTTGACTGGGTCTATTAAAGGCTGGGCAAGTCTCCATAAGTTTGGGGAGGCCCAATGCTATGATTCTTTTGAATTGCCTGGAGAACCAGACATGTTCCATAAGTTTGGGTGATCTGGTTGCTCTGACTTGTAAGGGCTGACTGTGAACGACTTTTCAAGGACCAAGCATGTTTCATAAGTTTGGGTGGCTCAGCCTCTTCCTGCTTTGGTTTTAAGAGAAATGAACCTGGCTCAAGACCAAGACATGTTCCATAAGTTTGGGTGGCACATGCTGGAACCAAAAGGTTATAACTTGGCTATAACTTACTACTATTCTATCTATGAACAGGCTAATCAGACAGGATTCCATAAGTTGCGGTGGTCTGACTATAGCTTATCACCAATTGAAGAGGGTACTAATTAAGAATAAACTTGTGGTACGAAGGGGCAGATTGAATCTTGAGCTAAAGATGATCGGTTCAGTTATATGCTACCTCAAAAGACTAAGTGCAGAGAATTATATAAAGTTGGGATACTTAAACAGTTCAGGGCGGCTAGGGTGGCCTGGTCATATGCTCAAAGAAGAGAAAAGTTGTTGTGCCCTGTGTTTGTATATATTCCATGGTTGGGCTAGACATATTCCATAAGTTTGGGTGGTCTAGCTTTATGCCCTATGTAAGCTAGGTATAAAGGGATAAATCATTGAGAGACTATGAACTATTGTTTGAGAAATCGACCTTGGGATGGTGAGAGTACTTACCTTTGTGGTTTGGCCTAAATGAGACTAAGTGCGACTACTACTTTGTCTGAGTTACAGTTGATAGGTAGTTGCTTTAGTTGCTCGCCACGTGCTAGAGCCATAAGAGTTAGTTTCAATTCCTGCAATTTCCGAGCTAAGTTTATTTTTACTTGGTCAATTTCTGCATTTTCTGGGATTTTTTGTTATACTTGGCTTTGTATAAATTTTGGGAAGTCACTTTCTCTACGGTAAGCGCTGCCGAAATTTCTACAAAACCAAGGAGTTAATTAAATTTTGTATTTTCAAGGTTCAACTTGTCCAACTTTTATGAATTAGTAAAAATTTGGAGAGTTTCCTTTCTAAAGGGAATGCCGCCAGAATTTTTGCTAATTCAGGGAGTTAGACGAAAATTGGACCTTGAGAAGTCAAAGTCGTTTTTAGTTTGAACTTAGCTTTGTATAAATCTTGGAATAGCACTTTCTCTACGGGTAGAGCTGCCGAAATTTCTACAAATCTAAGGAGTTAGTTAAATTTTGTCCTAGTTGGATTCGAGGTTTGCTCTGGGTTCATATCTAACTTAGTAAAATCTGGAAAGTCTTCTTTTCTAAAGGGAGTGCTGCCCAAATGTTTACTAATTCAGAGAGTTCGACGAAATTTGAATTTCCAGAATCAAAGTTTGTTTTGTTTTTCATATTTGAGTTAATATAAATTCTGCAAAGGCAATTTTCCTACGGGAAGCGTTGCCGAAATTTTCGTAGTTTAGACTCTAGAGGAGTTAGGTTATATTTTGACAGGTGGAAAAAACTGACAATCCACTCTGTATAGAGGAGGTTCTGTCAAAGGTTTACCTTTTTATTAGACACCGACTTAGAGGTAGACTCAAGATTAGTTAAGTAGAATGATTCTTGGTGAAAATCGTGATATGGAGATTACCCTCGATTTGGACTCGTAGATTTAGCTTGGGATTGGCCTGTCTTGTGTTACAGGTCCTCTTGAACGTTTGATTCGAAATCAGGACTAGATTCAACTTGATCCTATAAGGATCACCTTTTGTTATCACTGATAACAGGTCGGTTGCCGATCCGTCGGTCCACGACTCAACTCCAATTCATCCTCAATACTCAACCTCAAAGGCTTTAGCCTTGGTGATTTTTGTTGTTTAATTAAGGTTTTCACCCGGACTTTTATTGAATGGCCATTTAACAAAGGTACTGAGTATTTAATTATGGTTGGTTGGACAAGGGTTGGGGCTTGCATGGCTAAAGCGAGGGGTACGAGTATAGAAGTTGGTTGAAGTGCGTGGACGTTTGGTTGACTCTTTAATGTGATTGCAAGTTTGTACTGTGGTTCGGATTTTGGATTTGACTGCCTGTGATCACACACATATATATGGTTGTGAGGAGTCCCACTGTGATTGTGAGAAGTGATCGTCACATACTTATACCTCCTTTACGTATATATATGTATGTATCTATATTGGGTATTTGCGAGGCCTAAGGGGCCCATGCTTAAGAGTTTAATTAGGGTTGAGATTGAGAAAGGAAAGAGGACCCCTTTTTATTGTCGAATACTTCTTAAAGATTTTTTAGTCGGACGTTGGTCCTGGGACTGGATTCGAGGTCCTTGTCCAGGACATCCCAAGTCCTAGACTCGGCATGGAAGGGATCTCCCCCTCGCAGAGCCTATTTGCCCTCTGCTGGGGCACTCAGCCTGAAGGCCGGAGGTGCCGCGGAGGCCTCATGGCTATTCCTTCAGCCGTGCAATATCATGAAGGGGTAGACCCTCACGATACTTCGAGTTTGACACTTAAGTGTCATAAGCGGTACTCGGATCCACGAGGGACCGTTTGATTGATGGCACTACATAGTACGCCATCATTGTGACTGCTTGCGTATTCATGCATTGCTAGTCGATATGAATTAGCCCTGCATCCGCGCGGTTTTATACTAAAGTCTCGCGCGTGACGCCTATTTGATTTCCGCATCGTAGAGTTATGGGATGGCTACTAAGGAACTAGGAGTGTTGTCACGTTGTTTGTTCTTTATCGTTCTGTACTATATATATGCGCGTGCGTGTTTTTTTTTTTTTTATGTTCTTTAGAGTGGAGTATGTGTAGGTGTGTGGGATGTGTCCCAGTCGACCGGCGATGAGTCGCGCTTGGGACCTCACCCCCCAAGATGTCGGTTCACGTGTGGGTCCGATAGAGGCGTAAAACCGCGCGTACCCCCTATGCTACAACGTACGAGAAACGCCCTCGGCTAGTCCACCGCTGCAATTGCAACTGATCAACTTTCGTACTGTGGACTAATAGCTCGGCAGGGATACGCCCACCAAAGGGAGGTGACAACTCCCGCAAGGTGGAGGTAAGTCGTGCCTCGCGTAGGCCCTATCCTGTTGTAGGGGCTCGCGAGAGGTATGGCTGGTGCACTCGGCCGGAGCGACCTGCAGAAGCTCCATATGCATTTTGCGACGAGGATAAGACCAACTCCTACGTGACGAGGCCGGAAGGGTCCCGCCCCATTTTGTGCGGTGCCGGACCGATGCGCTCGGCAAGTGGCACCGTTCCCGAGGATAACGGAAGCCTACCGTTGTCCCTGGTGAAACGACATGCGAGTATAAGATTGAGAGAGAAATAGGCATATAAGGAAAGACAGAGTACGTAATGTCTTGCCAGGCTAATTATAATGGAGAAACATTATTAATGTAATAAGTTTTATCTTTGATCTGATTGACTGCCTAGGTTAGGAGTTCATAAAGGAAACCCTATAGTAAAAATGGGGCGCATTAAGATGATTTCAAAAGGAATGGAATAGGTGGTACTACTCTATCTGAATCGCTAAGTGACTGTTTAGGAAACTCGATAGGCGTCATGGTAAGTTAGGACGCTGAATGGAAGTTTTATTTCCTCACTTTTCTTAATAGGAAAATTTTGAGAAAGAGGTGCGGCCAAGATGTTAGGAGGCATAGCTGACGGTACCGGGAAGGTCCTGACTATCGACGATTTGGTTGAAGCCTTGGACAGGCGTGAAAGGTCGCAGAGCAATGTTCCCAAATTCGATACCTTCCATTTCGATGGGGAGCGGGTCTCTGATTGGCTTGACTTGGTGGAACAGGCACTAGTGGGACTATCTGACGCTGTGAAGTTTCAGCGGATTTCGAAGTATATGCTCCACGGTCACCACCAAGAGGTGGAGAAGGTTGTGAACGCAGCTAATGGCAGTTGGGCAAGATTTAAAAATGGAGTGCAGAGGAAGTATAGGTTGGGCGATGACCTGTTAACCATCGCGGACCTGTAAGCCATGAACAGGGATGACTTCACCACGGTGGGGGCTTTCGTGCAAAAAATTTTAAAAAAGGCGAGGAAGGTCCCTGGGATCTCTGAGGAAGCGCAGTGTGCTATTTTCCTGGGGTTCCCCACTGCCTCGGAAGCGGCGAAGCTGACAAGCCATGGAGGGGGCAGTGTGAAGCTCACCTAGGCCACTATTGCCAAAGGAGTAGAGGAAGGAAGTCTGGACCAGGTGGAGCAGAATCAGATGCGTCTGCAAAGGCGAAAGAGGAAAGAACGGGATGCGACCGCTTGAGGGACCCCAGGGTGAAGAGGATTGTCACCGACATACTTGCGGAACTGGGTTATGGGAAAGATGCGGTGATACAAAAGAAAGTGGTGACGACGATCCAGGGAAAAGGGAAGGATCCAATGATAGAGGAAGCCGTCCAGGAGGACTGGGAAGAAGAGGAGCCGGTGCCCCGGTACCTTTCAAAAGCGCCACGCAAACAGCGCAACTTAACGCACGGGGGGCAAGGCTCAGGAAAGGGGCAGGGGCCACAAGCAGTGGTAGTAGCATCGCCAAGTGCGCCGGCTCCGTCAAGTAGCACGGGACCCTCACAAGCGGCAATACCACTATTTGGGCAATGGCCATGGCCTGTGTTTAACACCTTTGTGCCATGGGGAAGCCCGACTCCATTTGGGCAGATGGTACCATATGCTGGGCCCCAAGCGAGGATGCCACCACCAAGCTATCCCGCAGCACAAGCCCAGCCCATGGCACCGGCTCCGTCACCTGCGCCGAGTTCACAAGGTAGTGTGGCTGGTGGAGGTAATCAAGGCCAGGGTAATCAAGGGAATGGGGGAAGAGGCAGCGGAAGAGGCCGAGGCAGGAATGGTGGTGGCCGAGGAGGACAATGGGATAACCAAGGCTACCAAGGCCAAGGAAATCAAGGGAGCCAAGGAAGTGGGAGGTCCCGTTTTGATTGGAGAACCGCTATATGCCAACATTGTGACAAACAAGGCCATACTATACAGTTCTGCAATACTAGGCGGGAAGATGAAAGGGCCGGACTGATCTGTTCCAATATGGGCGGTGATATATACGATCAGTTCGGAGAGTATATTGACCGGAAGGTTCCAGATGGAGTTAGGGCGGCGGCTCAGACAAGGATAGCTACGCAACAAGCACCACCTGCCATATTCAGGTTGTGGCAGGAAAAGGATGACCCACCAATTAGGGTGGAAGAAGTGGAAAGTGATGAAGAGGTGACTCAGAGGCTACGGGCAGGAGTTATAAAGGAAGAGCCCATAGTCGTTGAGTCGGAGGAAGAAAATGAGAATGAGAAGGTGGAGCCAGCATCAATCCTTCTAGGGAAGATGGAGGATCTGTGGGGAAAGATGGGGAGGTACCAGCAGAAGTTGGTAGACATTTGTGAAGAAGTAAGGAAGAATGGCACAGGTGGCTCGTACTAGAGGCCAGGCTAAGGCCATTGCAAGCAAATAACCTCCGCGGAAAGAGCCAGAGAAGAGAAAGCAGGCCGTAGAGGTGGAGGATGAGCAGGATGACAGAATGTGCCAAGAAGAGGACCAGAGAGCAGAGCAAAGGGCCAAGAAGAGAGGAGCCCAGGGAGAAGCCGAACTAGTTCTGCACGATGTGGCGCAGAGGAAAAATAAGTATGAGGTCCGGTTGGAGGAAGGGTTTGATGTGGAGAAGCTAATAGATAGGTTACTTGAGGGTCATAATGACCTGGTGACCTTAAAGGAGATCCTGGCGTCTGCTCCTAAGCTCCGCAACGAGCTAAAGGGAAGGCTCTCTCGGCGCTTAGTGCCAAATGTCCATCTAAGTGTGATTTTGCCAAAGGAGGCGGAATGGGCCGAAACTTGAACGAAGATGGATTGGAAGTGTGGGGCCTGCGACATGGTGGATTTGGTGGTGAAAGGCTCCAAGTGCACAACAATGGTGGACACGGGAGCAGAGATGAACATCATCCGGGAAGCTGATGCACTCAGGTTCGGATTAGAGATAGACCGCTCGGATTGCGGCATTTTACATGGAGCCAATTGCAAGGCAGTGTTTTGTGGGACAGCCTCAAACGTACTTATCGAGGTTGGGAGAGTGAAAGTCAGGGCATGCTTCTTTGTCATGCCAAATGTGGACCATGGCATCCTCCTGGGAAGGTCATTCCTGTGCAGGACATAAACGTTGATGTTTAATAAACACGACGGAACTCTGATCCTGATTACGTGTGATTCGACATGTGGGAATTATGAAATAATCACTTGCCGAAACACCGATCCACGGAGCACAAGGAACCGGCCCAATCCTGGCTTGTTTACAATCGAAGAATCTGAGGACGAGTGTCGAAGACTCCTTATGGAGCCAGAGGAGGAAGAAAGGGGTGAGGCGCTCTCCCTCAGTTTATCGGACGTAAACAAGGCCATGGATGTAGTGGCCACACACGAGATGGCGGATCCAAACGCCATTCACGCGTTAAGGGAGGAAGTCCTGGAGTGTCCCCAGGCTGGGGAACTGGAGCTGGTCTATCGGCTTCCGGGCGGAAGGAGGGACCTTGCGATGATGAAGGCACAAGTTGTAAGCCGGCCTTGTTTAGGGGACGGCTCTAGCAGGGTTCCCATAGATAAGAAGTGTCGCCCAGTTCTCGTCCACATCACGGAAGATGAGGAGGTTTATTACGAACGGGAACGAGGATTGATACAACGCATGAGGGAGCAGGCAACGACGGGGTCGTGCCGTATCAATGGAGAGAACGAGGAACAGTCGATAGTGGGAGAGTCGGAGTTCCTGCTACCCCGGGACAGGGCGCTGATGATAGAGTTTATGAAGAAAAGGCATCGCGCCTATGCGTTCGATTACGATCAGGGAGGACGGTTGGACGTAGATAAGATCCCCATTATCCGGATTCATATCGTGCCACATGAGCCATGGAATTTGAGAGGGGCACAATATCCCAATCCTGACGAGGAAAAGAAGGTAGTGGATTACCTCGATGGCAAGATACGTAACGCATGTCGCCGACTACTTGAGTGGGCCGTACGCATCTCCATGGTTTTGTTTTGTTAAGCCTAACGGAACGTTGCGGTGGGTGCAAGATTTGCAGCGGCTGAATGCGGTGACTGTGAGAGATGCGGGAGGTTTGCCAAACGCAGACACGTTGTCAGAGTCCTATGCTGGAAGGCCTATAATTTCACTTATAGACCTCTACTCGGGGCACGACCAATTTCCAGTCTACCCGCCAGACATGCCAGTGACAGCAATGCACACGCCTAGAGGACTGATCCATATGAATGTGGCTCCGCAAGAGTGGACTAATGCGGTGGCGATGGTTCAACGACATAAGATTCGAGCCATGCAGTCAGTCAGCCCACATATCACTCAGCCATATATCGACGACTTGGCGGTAAAGGGGCTGAGAGAGAAGGAGAGTGATGAAGTCTTGCCAGGAGTACGGCGCTTTGTTTGGAAGCACGTCCAGGATCTTGATAAAGTCCTGAGCTTGCTTGAGGAGCACAACCTCACGGCAAGTGGAGCCAAATCTAGACACCATCTTAGGTTTCGTTTGTAGTGAGAAAGGTTTTCGACCGGACGTGAAAAAGACAGACAAGATTACCGAGTGGCCAGTACCATTCCATTCGATAACAGATGTTAGAAGCTTCCTCGATACGTGTGGATTCTGGAGGACCTTCGTCAATAACTTTGCCGCCAAGACTGAACACTTGAGAAAGTTGGTCCGTCAGGACCAGGAATGGATTTGGGGTGAGGAGCAGGAGAAAGTTGTGGCTAGGATGAAAGAGGAGTTTCGAGGAGGGTTAGTACTAGGAGCACCGGACTATGATTTGACGGAGGTGAGGCCATTCGTCGTTGAAACGGATGTTGGGCCGACTGTTTTGGGAGGAGTTTTGATTCAGGCAAATATCGAAGGAAAAGAGAGACCACTGAGGTTTGAAAGCCGAACTCTGAACACAACTGAGAGAAACTACTCTCAGTTTAAGAAGGAGATTCTCACTGTCCTTCACCGCCTCAGGATCTTCAGGAATTACATCTTTGGCAGGAGGTTCATATTAAGGGTGGACCCAACCGCGCTCACCTACTCATTGAGGAATTCCGTTCCATCGGATCCTACGGTAGCCAGATGGTCGACTTACATCTGGATGTTCAACTTTGAGTTGTAAAGGATCCCTGAGAACAAGAATAGAGCGGATGGGTCAAGCCGCATCGACAGGGACCAGCAGAAGGAGAAGGTAGTAGAGGCTGCACCCCCGGTGGATTGGTTCCTGGATCAAGAGGAGACGTCCGTCTCCACATACATGAATGGTCTTTGCGAGTGCCGAATTGCATTGGCCATCCCATCGGGATTGCACCCAGGGGGTATGAACAAAAGGCAGAGCTGGTGCTCAAGTCTTTTGAAGAAGAAGACCCATGGGGCGACAAAAATGACCAACGGATGATGAAGTTGGCACTAGCCGGCACGCATAGTCTGGTAGAAAAGGTGAGAACGATAGAGGAAGGGTCAGATCAGGTAGAGAAGCACGAGGAATTGATGGGAGGGATGTACCTCCTTGTCAATACACTTCTACAGGGAAACTTTGATCAGATAAGCTCGCTGAATCCAACTGAGAATGAAGATGTGGTGCCAGAAAGCCAGAATGACGAGTTTGAAGAAGGGGAGATCAAAGAGGTTTTTTGTGCAGAAGAGTATGAGGGAATCTACCTGGAGCTAGGGCTTCTCCTATCGTGTGAGATGCGGGATAGGGATGCAAGCGAAAGGGCTAAGAAGATGAGGCATCTCTATTTGGTAAGGGATGGTCATCTTTTTGTAAAAAGGCAAATGGGAAACCCCAGGAGAGTTGTGTGTGGCAGAAATCGTCAGATTGATATTATAGTTGCGCTTCATGATGGCATTGCAAGAGGACACCGGTGAGTTAGTGCCACGTATGCTAAGATAAGCAAGCTATACTATTGGGATGGAATGATAGAGATGGTCAACAAATTCTGTCGTTCCTGCGTACCTTGTCAAGAACGGTCTCCTCTAGGACCAGGAGAGCCGTTGCATCCAAGGTTAGAAAGGGAAGTGGGGGTCGTAGTACATCTCGACTTGCTCTTTATGCCGATTGGGGATCATGGCTACAATTATATCTTCGATGCGCGTAACAACCTTTCTGGCTTTGTAGATGGACGAGTCATTCGCACAAAGAACGGTTCGGTTTTGGTAAGCTGCATCGAGGAGTACTACCTGCAGTATCCCTTTGTCAGAGAGTTCGTGATGGATAGAGGGTCGGAGTTAACCTGCCACGAAGTGCAAGAATTGTTGTCAAGATACGGCGTGGTAGCCAATTACACCACGGGCGCGCACCCCCAAGCAAATGCTCCAGTTGAAAGAGGGTATAGCATCATCAAGAATCTTTTGGCTAGGTGGACTGAAGGTAGGCCTAATCAGTGACCAAAACGACCGGATGAGTCTGGAGGACCTCATTTCCAACCCGAGTTCAATGTCTTACGCAAAACGAGCAAGACGACCGGATGAGTCTGGAGGACCTCGTTTCCAACCCCTGTTCAATGTCTTAGGCAAAACAAGCAAGGCGACCGGATCAGACTGGAGGACCTCATTTCCAACCTCAGTTCAATGTCTTAGGCAAAACGAGCAAGGCAACCGGATCAGTCTGAAGGACCTCATTTCCAGCACCAGTTAAATGTCTTAGGCAAAACGAGCAAGGCGACCGCATCAGTCTGGAGGACCTCATTTCCAGCCCCAGTTTAATGCCTTAGGCAAAACGAGCAAGGCGACCGGATCAGTCCGGAGGACAAAACGAGCAAGACGACCGGATCAGTCTGGAGGACCTCATTTCCAGGCCCAGTTCAATGTCCTAGGCAAAACGAGCAAGGCGACCGGATGAGTCTAGAGCACCTCATTTCCAGCCCGAGTTCAATGTCTTAGGCAAAACGAGCAAGGCGACCGGATTAGTCTGGAGGACCTCATTTTCAACCCCAGTTCAATGTTTTAAGCAAAACGAGCAAGGCGACCGGATCAGTCTGGAGAACCTCATGTCCAGCCCCAGTTCAATGTCTTAGGCAAAACGAGCAAGGCTACCGGATCAGTCCGAAGGACCTCATTTCCAGACCCAGTTCAATGTCCTAGGCAAAACGAGCAAGGCGACCGGATCAGTCCGAAGGACCTCATTTCCACCCCCAATTCAATGTCTTAGGCAAAACGACCAAGGCGACCGGATCAGTCTGGAGGACCTCATTTCCAGCCCCAGTTCAAT